AGCCGTTCATAAATGCTATAGGCACACCGAGTGCGCGCACTCTGTTCCGTTCAGAAAGTACTTCGGGTGCGCTCCAGGTGTCGCACCGGTCACACCATAATTTTTTGGTGTGGCTGCGGTGTGGTTGTGTCTTTATGTCACCAATGTCAACCATTCCTCCCATAATCTCAAAATCCCACCAAATATAAACAAAACACAAATAAAAATTAAAGGTTTTTCTTCAAATTAAAAAAATCAACAACAAAAAAAAAGTAATCTTAATACGTTTGGTGAAATTTTTGAGGAGATGCTCGATTGGTCACACCAAGCGTTCAGAAATTCATACGAAAGTTGTCGCCCACGAACTATCATTTCAGTCACACCGATAAAATCGCACTCACACCCGGTGGGTTATTTCTGAACTCGCCCCTGAGCTGTTGAAGTTTCGTTGATTGTTTTCATTATGTGAGATTGTATGATGATGCTTTCTGCAGACATTGCAAGTTACACTGCTGCGACATCTAATATGTTTTTCGTGGTTGAGACAGTTCACGCAAAGGTTTATTTTCTGAACAAAACGATTTCTTTCTTCTACCGACAATCTTCTAAAGGCGCATGATCTTTCTCGCAATATTGGCAAACTGGGTTGTTTCTTCTACTTGGGCTTGTTGCTTCCAGAGATTGAAATCTTCTTTCAAGAAATTTTGAATTTTGTGTGGTTCTGTTACTGTTTGTTCATACATCTTGTTGGTTTCGGAATCCCATTTCCGACATTATTCTGTTATTGTTATATTTTCTAGCCCACGAGTACATTCTTTGTTGATGTCATGCAAGAGCTTTAATTTTTCAACGTTTCCGGCGGAAAGGTTTGGGAGGTCTAATAACTTGTCTATCAGTGTCGAGGCTAATAGTCGTTTGTTTTCATATCTATTCTGAAGTAAGTCCCATGCTGTCTCGTAGTTGTTTTCAGTGGTTATCAGATGCTGAATGAGTCTTGCGGCTTCTCCTCGAACATGTGTTTTGAGTAGTTGTATCTTCTCTGCCTTGGAAAAATGTATGTTGTCGTGAACTACTCACAAAAAAACATCATGGAAAGAACTCCAGTTCTCGTAGCCTCCGTGAAATGTTGGAATGGTTATTTGTGGTGACGCAAGATGTCTTACAGGCCAGATTGATTGGGTCTGTGGTAGTTGCGGCTGACATGAAGCTTGTGCCTCGATTGTTTCCGTTGACAATTTTGCCAACGTGTCTTCATACTTCATACTTCATCTGATACTCATCACCTCTGAAGTAGGCACTGGTGAATGATTTTTCATAAATTATTATCTCTTCGTGCAATTCTTGAATAGCTTCCCATTGTTTTACCAGCTTTTAATTTTAATAATAAGTATGTAATTCATACCTTATTCTTGATTTTGATTCAGTTAGATCATGGTTGATTTGGTCGATTGTTCTATCCAATTCCTCACACTTGAGATTTTGTTTTTTCAAGAGTAAGAGTTGTGGACTATTTCGCAATTCATCATTGATCGTTTTAAGGTACTTCTTGCAAGTCTCATACCTCTCTTTCATTTGTTGCAGGTATTTTTTTAGTAAAGTAGGCGTGGTTTGGTTCATTTTCTTGAACTGCATCCCATAGATCTTCTAGTGCTCCAAGTTTTTGTTCTACATACTGTTCAGTTTTTCTTGATTAGCCATCTTTTTTACAGTTGGTGTAATGTTGCATGATCTTTTTGCCTAATTCTTCTTGCCGAGCAGCACGTAAGTTCATTTCTTCCGCCATTGTTCTGTTGATGTTGTAATGGGCTTAGTTGGACCTCTGGAACCGCTTTTGGTGGAACCTCCGGGAATGTGGTTGACCGCTTTTGGGCGTGGTTAAACCTCTAGGACCGCTTTTGGTGGGACTTCCGGGTGGTTGACCCTCTGGGACCGCTGCTGGGCTTGGTTGAATCTCCGGGACAGATGTTGGTGGGACCTCTGGGACTCGGTTGATAGCTGCTTGGTTTGGTTGGACCGCTGGGCTGCTCTTGGTGGCACCTCTGGTAATCTTGTTGATGGCTGCTTGGTTTGGTTGGACCTCTGGGACCGCTGTTGGTGGGACCTCTAGTAATCTAGTTGATGGCTGCTTGGTTTGGTTGGACCTCTGGGACTGCTTTTGGAGGGACCTCTCGGGATCTGATTGAGAGCTGCTCAGCTTGGTTGGACCTGTGGATCGCTATTGGTGGGACCTCTAGCAATGTGGTTGCCCGCTGTTGCAGGCTGCTGATTTTTGTCCATTGTAACTTTTTGCTCGAAGGACCATGTACGTTCCAGGAGACTCTGGTTCTCTGGATGGTATTTTTTGCTTGATCCTGATGGTTTAGGATAAAAGAGCAGAAAGGCCTTAGTACCAGACAGGACTCAAAGTCACGGCACTTGCACTAGGGCGTAAGACAGTTAACTTACAACCAGAGTAAAGTACTTGTTGTAAATTGGAAAGAAGACCCTATCAAGACAAAGCACTTGCTATAAGGGTTAAGTTAAAAAAACCTGCACCTGCTACAGCTTCAAGGAAGAGCCGAATGTAACCAGACAGAGCACCTGCTACAATAGGGCTGAAGCAAAAGTAATTGTGAAGCTAGCAACGCACATTTTACGCGGCGTAAAACGCTGAGGACATATCAAATGGAGGTGTTTTCCTACACTGCGGAAAAATGACTTGCGCTAGCGTACTACGGTTGACGCAACTGGACGACTGCTCGGAGAGCAGTTTATTCAGTTATACGCTGCGTGTTTGGAAAAAAAAAAATGTTTATATACCTCAATGTTAGGCCTTGTTTTTCAGGTGGCGAAATAGGATGTCGCACACGATTACATGGTTCCCTAATCTCATCTTTTCTCAAAAGATCGAGGAGAAATGTGAATTGCTGGCTTGAAACTCTAACATATAATTTAAATTTTACTTCGTCGTCAAGTAGATGTCTATGGATATAAGTAAATGCTTTTTTTGCTTCTTCTTTTTTGAAATAATAATTGACTAGCAGAATTTCGAGTCCTATCATGAATCGTGGCTATTATATCAATCTCTTCTTGCAAAATTTCATCTTGTGATAATAATAAAGCCAAAGCTAATTTCTTTGTTGATATACTCATTTCGACGATCGGGACGCAACTGACAATCCTAGGAAAACACTTTTACGCAGCGCATTGGATGTTGCGTGGCGTCGGCCGTATTACGTTCTACGCCGCGTAAAATCTGCGTTGCTTGGAAAACGCTGCTTTAGAGCGCAGTCTCACGACTCTCTAGCGTTGCTAGGCCAATGGTGATTTGGGCACAATTTAAGTAAGAGAAAGAACAAGTTTGACTCTCATTTTATTGATGAAATTGATCGCCTTTTATATATAATCTAGGAAGCAGTGACGATTTTCGGTACTTATATTTCCAGTCAGACAACATGGATAGAATTGTAGGGTTAGTAATTCTAAGCAAAATACATCTATTTTTAGGGGGGGTTTTCCGATGGGTTGAGGCACAAAATGCGTTAAAGCTTGCGAATGCACGGCCCTTTTTTCTCTCAGTGATAAAAATAGGTCTACTTATGAGAAGTATACTGAAGTTACGTAAAAAAATAGTCCGGCTAATCTGTGAGTATGTATAATATGTCTGGAAAGTGAAAAATTGAAGATCCGAAAATTTTCAGCCAGACGTACGTTTCACTATCTGAGATAGGCCAAATTGCTATTTTCATATACTTTATGTTCTATTGTAGTAAATGTGAAATATTTATGTCTGGGAAAATAGGCGTACTTTTATTTTTTATTGATCTTGTGAACCCATCCGAAAATTTTAGCCAGACTCAAAAATTCTTGCATTGTATCACCAGGAGAACAAACTATTTAATAAACACCAACTGGGAAAAGAAGTGCTAAAAAATTTCACTGCCTCCTGGACTAATACAATGAATGCTGATTTTGTAAATACCAATGATCGTCATTTGCAATAATTTAAAGTAGGTTCCTTATAATTAATTAATTATAATATATACAGTGTGGTAAAAATATATAAAAATAAATGTTCCAATTTGGATAAATGGACAAATGTTTTATATACTCAGGTTCACGCGCCTGGTCAAAAGCACCGATTATGAAAATAACGAACAACAAAAAACCAAAATATTTTTGCATCAGGCATTCTTAGATGGACAAAACTGCCACCCTTGTACCAGTGGCGTAATTACTGATTTTATCAATGCTCGATCCTTTTGAACGACACTCGTTTACTCCCGGGTTAAAGAACTTCATATAATTAAAGGAATCGTAGTAAACAACGCGTATGGTCTGGACACACATGACCGCACCGAATCCGCATCAAGTCCGCACAGTGGCACGGCAGTGTGTCGCCCAATAAGGTAAAAACCACACATTTCCAACACACGGCCGCATGACGGTTGTACTACGAGTGCGGTCGATACTTTGTCAGTTGGCTTCGTGACGTTAATAAACGTGTGCGTGGAAAAAGCTAAAATGTTCGCCAGCTTCAGCAACAGCGAATTGGCATTAATAGCGACGAAAAATTTGGGTTAGTTTTTCCATTTCTAATGAAAAAATACCGAGAGTCCGTCCTGCGACGCACCGTGCCCGTCAAAAATTAAACCAAACTAATCCCGCACGGTACGGACGCGCTGCGGTGGCGCCACTCGGGCGCGGCGCAGGCACAGTGCGTAGATGTGAAGACTACGACCTACGACATAAGAAAACACGGTACAACTCATCACCGATACACGGCCGTTCTCAGTGCGGTCATGTGTGTCCAGACCTCCGGGTTAAGTTGATAAAATCATTGAGAGAAATTCATATCAAAAAGCAACACAACATTCTTCAGACAATGCTAAAAATTCTAAATTCAAAACTTTAACTCACACAGGTTCAATAATAGTATTTTTCGAAAAATAGTTTTAATTTTACCTTCAGAACTGACAATTCTTTAGGTAAATTTGTTAAAAATAAGAAATCTCTTGATAAACTGTTTAATTTGTTTTCAGTAGCCACAATAGCAGTCAAACCAGTCAAATAAGCAGTACAGCTTCAAAGTCCTCTACGGATGTATTATGTGATGTTTTTTCTGGTTTGAGTGATGCTCCAGAAAGTACTGAGATTTTACAGCCTGTAGCATTATCAAAAATAGGTGAGATAGGTAGCTACTCAAGAACAAATATAAATAATTAATTTGTAATTTATTGATATTTTTCAGCAGAGGTTGCAGCAGACAATGATAAAGAGAAGCAAAAGAAAATCAAAGCTTTAGAAGATCTTGATGTTTTGGGGGAACATTTGCTTAAAGAAAACATACCTTCCTCAAATTATAGGTATTTTTTTTATACATTCAATGGACGCATTTTTCCTATACAATTTACATTATTACAGAAATCAAGATAAAGTCCCCATGAACCTTCTAACAAAGATAAACGAAATGAAAAAATCTCAGATTCAAAATACCTTACAGCCCATAGTGGAATCGTCAAAACTCGACTTGCATTATTTGCTGCAAAACCCTAAAAGTACAGAGTCAAGTCTCAGTCCAAATAGTTCAAAATCTGATGAAAATTTAAGTCAAGTAGACAGTGCTGATGATTGCTTAGTGGATATAAGCGATGACAAATGCAATGAAAATAAAAGAGAAACTGATCAGCGTCCTGTAGGAGAGACAAAAAAAGAAAAAGGCGAAATTGTGAAGCTTCTACAAAAGCTGGAAGCTTTGGAAGCATCAAAGTCAAATGGAGATTCTAATCCATCAAAACATGAAGGTAACATTATATTTACTAGGCACATTGTCTTTAATCTATTGGAACTCGTCTTAAGCACATCACAACTTTTTGACTTCAATTTCATATTTGACACATATTATGACTGACGGGTAAACCACCTTGGAATTATAGTGTGCAAGCATGTGGGATTCCAGTTGAATTCCGTGGAATTCTGTGTAATTTCAGTGGGATTCATTGCGATTCCGTAGATTCCAGTGGAATTCCTCAGTTTGCTTGATGAGTCGGTGTTTTCAGTTTGTACCTATGTAGTGGCGGCTAAACTGAAAAACAAGAATTTCTTGTCCAGAATCTTTGCTTGCTAGCATTCAACATAATTCTAAAAATTCACAAGAAACTCCATGGAATTCCTCGAGAAAGGACCCCGCACACTCCTTATGGGATTTCTGACCGCGGTCAAATTTAGCCAAATTTTAGTATGTTATAGATCTCACCTACCATGGGCACAATCTAATCCTATGACTAGTTTTTGAGATACAGGTAGTTTAATGTCCAAGAAATATACACATTTCATATGCATTTACATCTACCTGTCACCTGGATGGATAGGTATCCTCATGCTCAGGTGACAGGTAAATATAAATGCATAAAAAATGTGTACATTTCTTGGACATTAAACTACCTGTATCTCAAAAACTAGTCATAGGATTGAGTTGCGCCCATGGTAGTTATTGATCAGAAAGATGAGATCTATAACGTAATGAAATTTGGTTAAATTTGACCGCGGTCAGAAATCCCATAAGAAGTGTGCGGGGTGTGCGGGGTCCTTTCATGGAATTCCTCAAGAAATTCTATTGGATTCTAGTAGGATTCCGTAGGATTCCAGAAGGATGGTGTACACATTTCTCAAGGGGATTTACCCCTCGTATATGACGCTATGTAACTGATGAGGTAGATACTGGCAACTTTGAATGACTAGGTCACTAAAAACAAAATGGAAGGAGCTGCACGTTTTGAATTTGTTATACAGGGTGACAATTTAAAAAGTAGCGATCGGGAATATCTCTTGGACAAAAAATACTATCAGGAAGATCTCAAATACGTATCGGGGGATTGGAGGGGGAACCAAAATGAGGCACTTTTTGAGTCACCCCGCCTCACCCCTTAGAGGGTAGCTACCTCAACTTATTTTTTTTCAATACAAACCAACCTTGTATTGCACATCATTTAATAGCTCGTTGCTATCCCTTCACAGTCCCATAGAAAAATCTTAAATCATACGATTAGTTTTTGAGATATCGGTGTTTATAAAAGTAAGCACATTGTGGAAATAGTAATTTTGACTATCTCATAGACAAAAAAATTGTATCATAAAAGTATCAAATACACATGGGCGAAACCAAATAATGTGTTTATCGCAATTCTATCTGCTTCTGCACGTCTCCAAAGACGAATAAAAAACTTTTAAAAGGAGCAAGTTCTCATTTTGAAAAAATTATTAGGAGCGGCTAGCCCCCAAGACAAGAGGGGTGGGGGTTAGGGAATAAACTCATTTGGTTTCCCCGATGTGTATTTGATACTCCTATGACAGAATTCTGTTGTCTAAGAGATAGTCAAAATTACTAATTTTCAAAATATGCTTACTTTTAAACAACAATATCTCAAAAACTAATGGTTCGATTTGAGATTTTGCTATAAGACTGTAAAAGGATAGCAACGAGCTATCGAACGATGTGCAACACAAGGTAGATTCGTATTTGAAAAAAATAAGTAAGGGTAGCTACCCCTAAAGGGTCAGGCTCAAAAAGTACCTCATTTTGGTCCCCCTCCAATCCCCCGATACGTATTTGAGATATTCCTGATAGTATTTTTTGTCAAAGAGATATTCCTGATTGCTACTTTTCAAATTGTCACCCTGTATAAAAATTCAGCTTGAACTGTCCTAACTTTATGGTTAATTAAGCTACAAAATTTATTTCTCATGTAATTTTTGGTGTCTAATTGACTTTTAAAGCCGGTGACGTCATCAATAATTGAAAATGGCTGCTTGCAAAGTTCTAGGCTTTTACAGATCGACATCATTGTTACTTATTTGTTTCAATTTGTCTATACTTTAATTTTAATGGTACGTACAAATTATTTTAGATAAGTCTACCTGCCTTATAAAACTGAAAGACATTTGTATAAAGCTGGAAGATATCAAGCCCAGTTCGAAAAAGTCAGTAGTTGCAATGGACGACAAAAACAGCCTGTCAGTTTTGTTACACAAGGCCGCAGGAGCTCCACATCCATTGATTTCAGTATACGTTATTACTACTATCAGCAGAAATGAGATGCCACTGAGCAATTACCTGTTTCAGGCTGTAGTTCCAAAAGTGAGTACATTTAATTCGTGTCTATTTTATGTAAGTATGTCATAGTATGGTGGTTGAAAGAATTGTTTTTTCTTTTTGGTCCAAGAACAACAATCCCCTTTAGTTTACAGAGTGTCAGATGATGTTTTGTACCTACAGATAATAACTTTGAAATATGCCATAATTTTTTTTTGTGTGCCTTTGCTGTTTTCTCAATAATCGCTCAAACTAGAAAAACACAACAAAGCGAGAGGAACGTCTTGAAAATATAATTACATATTTTGTATGATGGGTTCTGAAGTTATAATTTGAATGTGACATCATGGAATATAATATAGCTTAACAGCAATACAACTGGATAATTGAATATTTTTTTCATAAAACAAAGTGGTGGTTGTTCTTCTAAAGAATCTGAAATTTTTCAAATATTTTTTGAAAACCAAATTTTGCCTTAAACTGAATATAAATAACTTTTCAGGAATGCAAATTCAGATTGATTGCTCCATCTTCTACCGAATTGCCTGCATTTAATCCCTTCTTACCTCCAGCTGCAATTACACAAATAATGCTAATTGCAAACCCCAAAAATCTCAAAGAAATTTCTCTGAAATTTATTGTCAGTTATGTGGTTGACGATGATACTGTGACTGAAATGGGAGAAGTTGAAAATTTGCCATTGGAAAACTCCGAAAAAGCTTAAGGATTATATTTACTACTATTAATAGTATTAATTTGTAGGGAAATTTTGCCCTATTGTGAACGTTTTCAAACGAAATAATTCAATTGGTAATTGATTGAGTATTTTTTCTATAAAAATATTTTTGTTTGTACTTGACTTTGACGTGATCTTTTAGGGATTTATGGTAATTTGACCTATTAGTTCATGGAAATCATGCTAAAAAAAGGGGTGTTGCCTTGCATGAAATGAGGTATTTCTGATTTTTTGATATGTTGTATCTGATGAAGTGGTTATGACAAATTCGAGTTTTCGACTTCGAAAGCCCTCCTGATCACTGTTAAATATTACTAAAACTGCTAAATTTTTCCCTTTTTTAACTTTTTGTCAATTTTGACCACCAAGGACTAATGTTACGGCAAAAGTCGTTACCTATGTACAATTTTTAAGTAAACAAAATTAAAAAAAAAAAAAACAAGATTAATTTGGTGTTTGTAGGTGGAATGGTTTTTAAGATACAGCAATTTGAAGTTTTGCATAATTTCAAAAAAGGAAAAAATGCATTTTTTGGAATAAACTTCACTTTATAGAGGCAACTTTCTCCCCTCTACACAATGGTGTAGCCAAATTTGAAATCCGACGTTTCGTCTTTGGTCGATCATCATCAACTTTATTATTTTTAATATAGGTTTGCCTTTTTTTTTCAAAATTGTATTCGGAGCTTTTTGATCCCCTGAAAGCAGTGAGACATTTGGCCATTGATAAATATTTTTTTTAAGAAAAATAACGCGTCGAATGAAATGCACGACCAACTAGCCTATCTCTTTCCAATGCACTGTTTTCACTAAATCCGGATATATTCGGAATTTCCAAATTTCGAAGAGGCGTTTTGTTAAGCAAGAATTTGTGCAACTTTGCCCCAATTTAAACGCATCTGTCTCTCTTACCGTTTCTTATATCCCAATGGTTGTCCGTTGCCCTCGAAAAACGGACACCCTGTATACAATAAAGTATTTCGTGTTACAAAAACAAACAAAAAATCAAATTAAGGTCTTTTGTTGGGAAATTAGCCCTTCTTAATATTATATATGATATTTTCGCCGTTAAATGGGTCCTTTGTGGTCGATATTGACAAACACTGAAAAAAAACTGTATTTTTTTTTTCTTGAAATTATGGAAAATTTCAAGTTGCTGTATCTTAGAAAATATTTCACCTACAAAGACCAAATTAGTCTCGTTTTTTTCTAAATTTTGTTTACTTCAAAATTGTACATAACGACTTTAGCCTTAACATTAACCTCGGATTTGTCATTAACACTTCATCAGATACAACATATCAAAAGATTAGAAATACCTTATTTCATGCTAGATAAAATATACCAATTCCATGGCCTACTATCCCCTTATAGGGGTTGTACCTAAAGGAAGTGTTTGCCAATTCATTTAACTCTTGTAAAGATTCAAAAACTAAATTATTAATTATGATCCCCAGACATTGAACGAAAAATATTGTTGCCACCTTCTTGTTCTATGGCGAGGTCTATAGGGATTTGAACAGTACGAATTTCTGCTTATCCCTCGCTCTATGTGAGAAAGTGCCATATTTTTTCTGTGATCCAAGCTTAGTGATTTTTTAAGTGAAATTTGCGAGGTACTTGATAAAGCTAATAAAGTTTCGGAGGTCGATTCTAAAATCTTGACAGATTATTCTAATTTCATTGTTGATAATTTATAAGGTATTATTGAAATTTTTCACTAGTAATAAGTCCTTTGCGCCTCACCTCAATGATATTTTGTCATGATGCATTACCTTCCCTTACAACCCCTTCAAAGGAAATAGGTTAAATAATCATTACTCTGTAGTCATTTTGCATTTTTCAATTAGCGATTAACTGATTGAATGAAAAAATTCTATCATTTCAGAAAAAAATTCTGCATAAGCCACACACACAAAACTACAAAAATGGTAAATAATTCAATAGCTTAATTGGAGAATGTAAATATACTATATTATTATATAATATATACATATTTATATATACATATTATATTTAAATATTTATTTTTAAATTGAAAACTTTCTAGTCAATGCTTTCGAAAACAAAAATAAATCAAAAAACATACTTAAGTATTGCAGGGCTGCATTTTTTGTGCTATTTACCAAAGACTTTTTTACTTTATACTACATATTTTTTTGTTGAGTTAAAATTATAGTTAGGTATGTTCTCTCTATTTTTTTATAAAATTAATGTGAAACAATTCGTCTCTCTAGTATCTGTTGTGTCCACTTTTTATTTTTATACTTTCGCGGGTTTTGAACCCGAATTCTGAAAACTTGAAAACAACTACTGAAAATAAAACATTTTCCTGCCTAATAACCTTTTTTTTTATATCATAATGTATGTATGTAATTATGTAAAATTGTTTTTTTCCAGTACTTGCTCACATTGATCATTAATTATTTTCTTTTTTCTCATTTATAATTTAATTACACAGCTTTTTTTTGTCAGAGTAAACTTGACATTTCAATGAAAATTTTGTTGCCTGGCAATTTAACGAAAAAAAATCCTCTGGAAAAATTACGTGTCCGTAAGACGAGTAATTTTTTAATTTTTCTGACAGTACTCGTGAAATTGGTTGAATCAGTTCGAATAATCCTGAAACAAAAATTTAATTTTGTTTGAATTCACGTTGATTTTTACATACATACCTACATTCCAAAATAATGTGATCTTATATTTTAACCTGTGATTTTGTTGTTAGGTAACCTTATTAATTATTGTTAGTTTTTTATTATTTTTTGTTTTTGATTGTTTATCATGTAAGTACCTGTTAGCATTTTATATTAGTGTACAACTATTATTGTAAGTACCTATAATGTAAAGGCATAAATGTATGTTTTACTTATAATATATGACTCCTATTATTTCAAAGATAGTGTTTTAATTTATGTGTCAATCTATGTATAATTTTGCATTTTAACTATGACGCAAGAGCAATTAAAATTGCAATTTTAAATATTTAATAGAAATAATTGTATGCTTTTTTTTTCAGGAGCTTTTTTTAATGTTAATTTGAAAGCAAATTTTCATATTCTAAAACTATGTATTAATCAAAAACTAAATTAGTACATGAGTATTTAGCTAGGTACTTTTTTTCAAAATTAGTGTTCTGATTTGAAAAATCTTATGTTATTTCCCTTTATGCTTAGCACAAATCTTATTTTTGGATTCTGCTAAAATTTTATAGAAAAAAAAAGTGTAACAAATTCCTAAATGTGAAATAGCAAAATAAGGGTGCTCCCTACTCCCTAGTGATTTATCATTGGCAGTGATTGTTTCTTGGAGATGTATGGTTACATGGAATTGTTTATAAGGTTATCAATGTGATATGTATATTATTTTTTATTAAGTGTTATATTCAGAAATTGGTGATTAAGGTTTGAAATGAAAATGGTAGGGAAATTCAATGTTGCTTTTAGAGGATCGAGTATGGCTTTTTACCTATAATATCTTTTTAATTTATTTTTGGATGACTGATATGTTTGAATGTTCTTTCTAGAATGTCTTATTGGTGAATAAATTCTGGACAGCGTCGATTATACAGGAATCTTCCTCAGATAATGTTTTGAGTTTCCTTGCAAAAGGAAAGGGGTGTCTTTGCTATTAATGATTGGAAATAGATTTCGTTTTTATGGGCCACAAAAAACTTAAATTTGGTATTTCCGCCAAATTTAGTTGCTTTACGTTTTCACAGTGAATTCAATATTTTTCAATTTACTCTTGAAAATCAAGGTGCTTTAGACTTTTTAAAGTGTCTGAATACCTACATTTCACAGATTTTCTTAGTTTGTTTTCTCAGACGATAAACTTTAGAAATACACGTACTAATTATGGAATAAAACAAACTGTTGAAATTTAACTGTTATGTTTCATTTCAAAATTTGTAATGAATTTCCATCAAGTATCAACTAAATCAATATATTTTAGAAATATTGTTTTTTGTGTTTATTACAATTTTTGCAATAAAAGGGTTCAGAGAATAACTACGAAATTTGATTTGGAAGATCTATATAAATTGAAATTTTTCTTACTCATTTTGACAATTTTATTTTCCAAACTGTATCCCACATTAATCATATAGGACGACAGGATATTTATCTAAAGTCCTATAAAGTGTGTTTATTATCATGACGTAACAAACAATTAGCATAATTATTTGCAATTCGGATTGTTTGTGTTTGTGTAAACATCTTAATCTGAAAATTATTTAAACATTTTATTAAGTATGGCATAACTTAATTCTGATTATTAGGGGTGACCCCCTGCAAAGAATTATTTTTGGCATAGTGATAAGAATATTATTGTTGAAAAATATCCTGGCTAATAACATTCATATAAAATGACAATGACGTCATTAAGTCATTACGCACAATCTTAAAATCTCAGTGGGCATCATCACACAAAATGACGTCTAGTGCTAATGATCTCTGCTTGTTCTAGTTTCCCTCTTATTTCTACCCCATACCCAATGAACGATATAAACCACTCAACAATAGGTACGTTCTAAGCATAAATTTCACCAATTTTTGAGACGCAACACCTTTTTAATAAATTAACGGAAAAATATGCCGTTTTCACTATTTTTGAAAGCGATTGCTTGTTAATCATCTGCTTTACACAAAAAAATATAGAATTTGGGTGTTTTTATTATACAGTATACAAAGTGCGGTAAAAATACAAAATTTTTGTTGCCACACCATTTTTACAATTATTTTTATTTATTTTTTCTAGGCATACCCGAATGATAATTATGTTCATCCCTCGAAACGTTTTTGGATTTTTTCTCATATATTTTTTTGTTGACTGACGTAAAAAAGCTTCATACAAAACACACAGGGTGTGCTAGGATACTTTAAACTTGAAATTTCAAGTTTTGTATAATTTGGCCATTAATTCCAAAAAACAATTTCGAGTTCATGTCATCCATTTTTTTCACAGAGTTACGTCATAATTTGTAAACCTATAAAACAATTGTTTCCTCAACTTCTTGATATTTGCTGTCATCAACAGGTCCTAAAATAATCATTATTTTTACTCGCTAACATTTTGGACAAATTTTTAATGTGTGTGTACAGGGTGTCCCCAAATCATATGCTTTTGAGATGATGCCACTTACTGTATAATCGGTTTTACAAAATAAACAAATTAAATACCTACCTACTCTTATTAAATTGCGAAATTCAAAGGAGACTACACGTTCACTGGGTGATTGATTTGGGGACACCCTGTATACAAGTAAAAATTCGTCCAAAATGTTAGCAAGTGAAAATAATTATTCTCTTAAGACCTGTTCATGGCAGCAAAGATGAAGAAACTGAGGGAACAATTGTTTTATAGGTTTACAAATTATAACGTAAGTGATATAAAGCCTTCAAAGTAAGTCAACATTTATTTTCCATCGGTGACTTCTGTAGTAAATGGCAAAATTGTGCAAAACTTGAAATTTTAAGTTTAAAGTATCCTCGCACACCCTGTATGTTTTGTATGAAGCCTTTTTACGTCAGTAAGTTTTAATTGTGATGATAGCAAGTGAATTTAATGTATCGCTTTCAAAAATAGTGAATACTGCATATTTTTCCGTTAATTTATTAAAAAGTTGTCGCATCTCAAAAATTGGTGAAATTTATGCTTGATGGAACGAACCTATTGTTGAGTAGTTTATATTTGACATTCAGCCCGACAAGTGATTTATTCCTACAAGTGATTTGATTTATCTCAACAAGCGATTTACCGTGACACGTAATTGTCCCGATAGTAGAAATCCCGACACAAGGTAAGCAAATAAATCAAACGCGTGTATCCATAGAACCGAGGGGTCAACAGGTGTGGATTTCTGTTGTACAACCATGTATATTTCCATGGATTTCTATAATTCTTGTGGATGTCTAAAGATTTCCATAAATATCCGTGGATCTCACTGGATTTCTGTGGATTTCCATGGATAGTAGATTTCTGCTATCAAAATCTGCCCCTTATTGTCTCGTTGTTTTTGGAACAGATGATTGGTGTGATTCCAACGATGTCTCAAAAAGATGGAAACATATGAAAGAAAACTTGGAGAGGCGGGGTAAAACCTTACTAGGTTTCTCCGGTGATGACGATACTCGTCTATTAAAAGCAATGCGCCAACATGATTCACTTCCACCAGCGCTTCAAACACAGACTAAAGGCAGCACAAGGTATACATTTAAATATTATTAGGCAGGATCCGATAAGATAGGAATAATTTTTCCGACACCTCCTATGTACAGGATACTTTCCATATCACAACAAAACTGCGCACAAGATTTCTCAATCCTAAAGCGGTTTGACCTAACAATGGGAATGGGATCCTATACTGCAAAACCTGCGCATATGGACCAGCTAATCTGAAATATTTCAAAGGACAAACATTCTCTCTAACTCCGAAACTTCATTCGCTTCAAGTCTGCGGAATAGATGTGTTCTAAATCAGTAATCCAGTTGCTTCAAAGTATTCCAGGAAGTGAAGATGATAGGACAATTTGCCTTATCATCTTACTTGGACCACGCGTTAGATGTAGAAGACTGGCTTCACAACATATGTTTTTTTTTTTGCGGATTTGGCGCAGATGGCTAGCTGATCAGCCGTGCCTCAAGATCGGTGGCAACTTTATCACCCCAAATTGTTACCTATGTATTTCATTAAGTTGAATGCTGATGCTCTCATCAATATCTCCACCGATTTCCGTGAAAATTCAAATCTGACAAATATGTTGCTTCCTGACCTTTTTTAAAGGCCAGTGTGGAAAAAGCTTTACTAGATGCGCTACAGCTCGCTGAGACTGAGAATACAAGTTCTAGAAGATAGTTGGAATGAAGTTGCACCATCACCCACCCCAGAGTCAACTCCTATAGAAAATGATATTGACTACGAGTTAGCTGATATAGAAGATCACCACGTACGTTATCACCATACCAGGAAATCCCTGACAGAAGAGAGATACCGTTTTTGAAATAGGTCCGCTAGTACGAGCAATGAATTATAACCAACAACTGGAATGCGAACACATATTGACGAACGTGAAGCCTAGTGCTGCTGCTGCGGAGGGGATACCTGTTTTTGTCGCACTCATTATGGTAAATGGCGGAAATTGCTTCCAACACGTATTCCAATTGATGAAACCTGTGAAGGTAAATATGACAAAACTTTCCAAAACGTCATATGTCAGCGAGCAACAGAAAAAAACAACATTCCCCTTTGTGGCATCTGTCTTTCATGGCTACATTTTTTTGGCAGATATGGCAATGTGTGCGCATTCCAGTTTTTGACTATAGTTCATTGAGTACGAGTAACAATTTCGACCGGAAGTCGACCGTCATTAAAAAATCTTTATCATGTTGGCTTGGCTATTAGAAAAGGCAACGCAGAGAGTGAGTTCTGATAGGCTGCGAAGATTTTTCTGGACGAAGTCAAAAACGCTAACAAAAAGCACTATTCATGTTTCTATGTATATGTCCAAAAAGAAGATTTTACCAAATAGAAAAACGCTTGCAAAAAAGCGCCTGTGCTATTCGTAGCAGAGAGACAAACAAAAAATCAACTTCTAACTCCGAAACTTCAGACAAGGACCAAATGAGTGTCAAATACGATGACACACACTGAATCTTTTTTTGATGAAACCAGTGAGACAAATCATAATCGATTAGAATTTCTTTGATAAAATCTTCCTGCAACCAATATGACATCTTCGACTGTTGAATCTGACGCTGCAACTTTCAATAATGCTGTTCAGCCTGAATGTAGGAAACTTTATGCCATATATTATCTTATAATGTGCCGTGTCAGAGTAAACTGAGGAGTAGACGTACACAAGTGAGCTCCGTAG